AAGAGAAAGAGGAAAATGAGAGAACAAAAGGAGAGAAAGAGAAAAAGGAGAGAATTTCGAACTAGATCTACAGTACACTACAGCTAGCTATAAAAATAAAGGGGAGGGACGGTGGGTCAAACTCGGTCCACGCAACCAAAAGATGCGGGGCAGGCATTCTTGGTGCTTAAACCCCCCCAGAGGCCTGTCCCCTTGCCGCTCCCTCTGAGCCCCGATTTTAGCCAGACATTGGCCCGTCAGGCAAGGGGAGGGCTGCAATTTCCCATCGGTCTGACCACCCGCCCCTCTTCGGCCTCTGCAGCCCACCCTTCTTCTAGCCTGGCTGCAATGGCTGGCTGCTGTCCCACTGACCCCCCCCCCCGAAGCTGTGCTGCAAATGGGGCTTCTGACCCCACTTCTGACAAGTCCATTTCTGACCCTTAGCTGGACTGAAGAATGATGACATGTGATACTGAGATGACTGTTTTTATGCTCGCAAGTCTGTGCATGTTCTATTAGAAATTGTTGACAAGACACTTAACCAATGCACATTTAAAAACATACTCCTAAAGCACACTATGGTCCTCAAATAAACAGGGAAGGCAATTATTTAATAACATCTTACTGAGCATGCTAAGCTCTTTGAAATGTTTATACTTTCTAAATGGATTTCATTCTGAATTCTACCTTCTTCAGAGACATCTGTTTGTTAGATGTAGATATATCAGGAGGACAAATTCTTTAAATCCCAGAACAGCTGTTTGAAGCTCACATGAATTGTTTAAAGAGTCTGTATTCTCTTGATCACCATCTAATGATGGCTTCCTCTGGCATGCAACGTTTAGGTGTGTCCTTTGGGCCACTGCTGGAGATGGAGCTTTGAACTAGGTGATTCTTTGGTCTTATCTGGAAAGGCAATTCTTTAATTACTGGATTGGACCCTATAACTGTCTTCTGCTATGTGAAGAGCCTTGCTCTTGAAGGAAGGAGCCCTTTCCTGTAGAGCAAGTCTTCTTCCTTTGGAGTAAGATGTTCATTTAATGGAAGAGAGTCTTAAGAGCCAAACCATATGTTACTAGTATCTGGGCATCAGCATTCTGTTTTTTCTTTACATTCTTTGTTTGCCCTTGGCTGAATGTGAGTCTGATAAAAACTATTTTATGTTTTGATAAGAAGGAGTCAAGTATTTCTTTTTAATGTGTAGACAGTTCCGACGTGTAGTCTCATGTGCCCTTTAGAATGCCAGACTTTTGGGCTGTGGCATACAGTTTCTCTTTAAAGAAAGAAAAAAAATACAAAATTATTGTGTAATAATCATTCATGATCATCCTCGAAAAAACCACATTCATTTAAACTAATCTGAACCTAGTTTTTGACATAGGATAGTAACACTACTTCATTTGAGCACCAGGTGGCAGAGTGGCAATGTATTTTCTGGAGAGATGGCTCACCTCTGTATCTCTTACAAAAACTTCATTACCAGTATCTGTGTTTATAGAAAGCAATTCTGTACTTGCATGTTGACTAAACACTTGCTTTAAACATGTTTTCAACAGGCAGATATATACGAATTTTTTGCTTGGTTGAGCTATATGACTACATCCAAAAGATAATGCTCCTGATCATAATATTACATAGCCCATTTCGGGTGTTGGAAGCTTCACAAGCATAATTTCAGTACTCTTCATAACAGCTACGCAGTGTAGGTCACAAAATACATGGGAGTTTAGGCGTGGATGTGTTTTTCCAATATCTATAAGTAAATTATCAAAAGTCTTGAAACTGGAGCCATTTTGGACAAAAAGTATTATAATATACATAAAATGCATACACATGTGGGGAGCAGAATAACAGGAATGTGGTGGGCTTGCAGAGGGTTTAGAAGGGGTCATTTGTCAGAGTATATTTGACATAAGAGTATTGACAATGACAGGTATAATTCAAGAGGACAAAGTCTCAGTCCAGTAGCACCTTTAAGAACAACAAAGTTTTATTGAAGGTATGAGCTTTCATGTACATGCACCCTTCTTTCGTGTGCACACGGAAGCATATACTTTGAATAAAACTTCGGCAGTCTTAAAGGTGCCACTGGACTCAAATTTCATTCTGGTGCTTCAGACCATCACAGCTACCCACCTGAAGGTAAAATTAAAGTTCAGACCTTTTGCTGATGCTTAAGTGCTTGCTGGACACTGTGTGCTTATTTTCATCTGTCTAATTACTGATTGAATCCCAGCAGTGGAGACAATGATTCTGCAATCAGATTTGACAACACACTGTCATTCACCTCATGTCCGGCAGGAACACAAGTCTGTTGTGTGCTGAAGCCTGCCGCTGTTCCTTGGATCTCCCTCCACCTCTTGCATTTAGATCTTGTTCAGACATTTCAAGCTCCACCTCACAGTGAGATCTGAATGCATGCAGGTGCTTCCATGAATAGCTCATTCCACACAAACCATGAGGTTTTCAGGGCTGCCAACTCTAGGTTGGGAAATTCCTGGAGATTTGGGGGGCAGAGCCTGGGGAGGGCGGGGTTTGGGGAGGGAAGGGACCTCAGTGGGGTATCATGTCATAGAGTCCACCTTCCGAAACAGCCATTTTTTTCTGGGAGAACTGATCCCTGTAACCCGGAGATCAACTGTAATTCTGGGAGGTTAGCAGCCACCACCAGGAAGCTGGCAGCCCTCGGTTTAATCCCAGTTTATATTTTTAATCTACAAGGAGTTCCTCCCTCTCTTTTCTTTAATAGAGGGGGAAAATCTCTTTCCAAGATCTGTTGTGGCTCTCATCAGCCCACTTGAGAAGCCTCCCCGGACTGACCAAAGCATTCTAGTTCAAAGGAACATACATTTCTATTAACAGTGTGAGCCTGGCAAGTTTTGCGACTCATTTGCCAGTTAATTAAGATCCCGTTTCAAAGTCTGAGGTGCTAGATTGCTCAAGTCTCAGATGCGGAAAGTGCTGAAAGTGCAGAGCGGGAGATCTAAACTACCTAAGCTACCTAACTGCCTGGGTTTCACAAAATGTCTTAATTAGCAGCATGCTGGGCAGTGAGCGTTTGAAGTAGAGAGTGCATGTGCACTGGAATAACATTTCATCCTACTGTACAGCTTTTAACTATAGTATATCTTAAAGTTATAGTGTGTATTTAAGAGCAGGCACCAAATGGGATACCAGCAAATACTATCCTGACTTTATTTCCTTTCCTGGTGAAGCTGGGGGAACAAGAGACCGACTCTTGAAACGTAGGGTGAGAAGTCTAGCACTGCAATGCTGGGAAGAGTTACACCCTTATAAAGCCATTAAAGTCATAGAAGGATATAACTTTGTTTAGGATTGCACCGTCAAAATCTTTAATGGTAACCTAGCTGTCATTGACCTAATGGTAACCTAGCTGGGAAAGATTGAAGGTCAAAGAAGACGGGGACGGCAAAGGATGAGATGGTTAGACAGTGTCATAGATGTAACGAACATGAAGCTGAGCAAACTTCAGA